GTGCTGCATGCCCAGTAGGTGCCATTAGGGGGCACTAGGTATGCGTCGGCCTGGAGGGAAAGGGAGGAGTTATTCTTAAGGCAATGTTTAAATCCAGTGGGCACCTTTCCGATGCAGGTGCCTGTCGAGGTAACCTGAGTCAGGGTGAGCGTGTGGGTGGAAGAGGTGCAGGCGAGGGGGGCAGCAGAGTTCGCGGGTAGTACTGAGAAGTTTTCCTGGACGACTATGCCCTCATAGTAAGGGGGGCTCGGGTTCAAACAGAGCCAGCAATTCTTAGATTTATCTGGCTCTGAGTGATTTAATGCCTGGAACGCTCCCCTGACGAGGTTTAGGAGTCTATCACCTGTCCCAGGGTATATGGTGGGAGGCAGGCTGGCAAAGTCATTGGTTTCTGGGATTTGTGAGGGCACCAAAGCCGATGACGGAAGAGAAGCTGGTCGCTGGTTACTGAGGACTGGGTTGGGACCTATAGCCACTGCAGGTGGGGGAGATATCTTTCTTCTAATTGTGAAAAGGAGGCCATCATCTCCCCTTTCCTTGTATAGTCTGATTCCCCAAGTAAATCCTTTGTCCCAATTTAGGGTTGACTTTTTACCTTGTGGGGTGAAATCTACGCAAAGGGGGTGGCACCATGCATGTTCACAGGCCTGTTTATGAATAGTTTTCCAATCCTCAAAAGTCCCATGAGAATGATTTGCTTTTACAGTGATATAATCCCATGATGAGGTCGGGGACCACCAAGTGTCCCCGGTTGTCTCACATCCCCAGTTTTTGCAGTAAAAGTAGGCCCTCCCTCCACATTGGGGGTTGAGATATTTAGCCCTGTGGTTGCCTGGGCAGACATAAAAGGTTAATGTGTGCAACATGGCCCGGTGCTCATGAGGGCCACATCCCCCCCACTGGTCAAGTTCCAGTCTCCCGGGGGGAATTTCCTTGTCAGGTGCCACCTCAGTATTCCAGTTTCCATCTAAGTCCCAGGGCTCTGGTGCTCCTAAGGCTAATTTACACAAATCTGGATACAGTATAGGCCACCAAGTACCCTTGGGTGCCATCTTGTGGGTTTCAAACACTACAATACCCATTTGATTAATTACCCGTCAGGTAGTCAGCACAGGGAGATGGGGATTTCCATAACTGGGGACAAGCCTATAAACAAATAGAATTATTAGGTATCTCTGGAGAGTCTTATTTTTAGAGGGTTGGATGTCCTGTGTAGATACTATTTTCCAGTGTCCTCCTGGGTCGGAGCTCTCTTGACGTGGGAAACGTGAATCCAAGCCGAAATTCCGTCCACCTTGAGGGCCGTAGGCGTAGTCAGGAGAACCGTGTAGGGTCCTTTCCACCGTGGTTCAAGGGTCTTTACGTTGTGTCTTCTCACGTACACCTGATCTCCAATTTGATAGGAATGAGGCATTTGTGGATCACCAGGCCGGTAGACTGCAGACAAGGGCCTCCAAACCTGGTTCTGGATGATCTGGAGGGCTTGGAGCCTTGTTTTCAAGCTGGGGTTATCAAAAGAAGAGGGCAAGGGGGACAAGGTTGCATTGAGGACAGGAGGCGGTCCTCCAAAGAGGATTTTGTAGGGGGTTAGGCTGTGTATAGCAGGAGTATTTCTAGCCTGAAATAGAGCTAGAGGTAGGAGCTGCACCCAGTCTTTAGTGCCAGTCTCTAGAGCTAATTCAGTTAAGGTCTC